AAAAAAAAATTAACTTTATAAAAGGAATGTATAGGTCTTATTTTTGTAATATAACTTTTTTTTTAGATATTTAACATGGTAAATAAATATCAACAGTCTTGATTTTTCACAAGCAGTCAGTGCACTTTGTATTGGACCTGTAAGGTAAGCTTTTGTAAATATGGTTGCTGGAATTACCTGTTTTATTGCCAACTTTAGAGATCTTATAACAGATATGGTTCTTAATCTTATTGTGCTCATGAGCTTGTAGCTATCCTTTATAGTTCCCAATCTAAATGTTTATGGCATCATTACTTACACTTTATAATGTTCAGTGAAAATCCTCTTTATTACCTCAGGAAAATCTATGGAGAAACTATTTATTAGCCAGAAAATTTTAATAATGATTTCAAAAATTTATGTTAACCTTTTACAGTTTAGTAGATAATTTTTTTTAAGATTAAAAAAAATCAATATATTCAACATGTACCTTACTTTAAATGTAAAAGTGTGCAAAATGCTTTAGGCTTGCCTACTTACACCTATACACACTTCTCATCTTTTTCTTTCCGTTGCATTTGGTAACTTGCTCTTTCAGCTTTGGGAGGGATACTGTTTAAGTAGACTTTATGTTGTTTGAAAGGCCTTGTTCAAAAACACTTAAGAAAGAGAAAACACTAACAGAAGAACATCTGTACCGCCCCATAAAAAACAAACTTAGAACCTTTTGACAGTTACATAATCAAAACACATAGCTATAAAGCTCTTTATGAGTTTTTTAAATCCTTAGTCTAGATCTTCTTGGCACTTCTTGAAGGAAACGTGATAATCGAAAGTCATATATTTTTTCACTTTGAAGCAGGATAACCAAGTTTAGGCTGAATTCTGACTATATGCTAAATTTCTGATTTGTAGACATGGGCACGTTTTTTGGTATATGAACCATTATTGTATTCACTTTCAGAACATCCCTCTTATGGAAAAGAAAACAGGAGAAAAATCAACGTGAACAGTAAAAAGGATAATAATAGCTAACATTTATTGAATACTTATTAGGTATCAGTCACTATTCTAAGTACTTTTTACTTGTACTGATTTATTTGATTTTTTCAGTAACCTTGTGAGATACAGATACTCTTTATAATCCCATTTTATAGAAGACGAAACTGAGGTACAGAGATGTCGAGTAACTTACCCAAGGTCACATAGATAATAGATAGCACAGCTGGGATTCAAACCCAGGCAGTTTGCCTCTACAGTCTACTATGCTGAATTGTCACTTAAAGAAAACAGTTGTGTAATTATTTAAATTTTGATTTCAGTCATTGTAAGTGGCATTCTTCCATCGGGTAGAAATTTGATTTCTATTATTTCTAAGATCTCCACGGCAGGGATGGAGTATGTGATGATTATCGATTCTTTTCTCCTTCCACTCTACCTATAGAATTCTCTGTAATACAGTCATGTGTGGCTTAATGACGGGGATACATTCTGAGAAATGCGTCATTAGGCAGTTTCGTCATTGTGCAAACATCATAGAGTGTATTTACACAAACCTAGATGGTACAGCCTGCACACCTAGGCTGTATGATACCGTCATGGTCATACATGTGGTCTGTCCTTCACTAAAACATTGTTATGCAGTGCATGACTGTAGTTCTGACTGCTTGGAGGAGAAAAGCATGACATGTGAAAAACAGTGTTGCACAGATTTTGGTTGCTTAGTTAATTACTTTACAACCCACTTGGGCTTAAAGCTTGGCAACAGAAACATACCTTTCCTTGTGTAGAAATCTCTTTGCTTTTAGGAATCTAAAATTTCCAATAATGAACTGTATTAGTCTGCTTTTGTCCTGAAAATTTCTCGTCTCCCCTAGCATGTTTCGCCAAGGGATGCATGACTTGAAAGTCTGGCCTAATGTAGAAGCAGATGGATCCGAACCCACAAAAACTCCTGGCAGAACAAGCAGCACTCTCTCAGAAGATCAGATGAGCCGCCTTGCCAAGGTGAGAAAGAGAATTTGGATCAGGTGGAAAGCTCTGAATGATGTCTATTGTACTATACCATGATATTATGAATTCTGTCAGATTTTTTCAAGCAGCACTCTCTCAGAAGATCAGATGAGCCGCCTTGCCAAGGTGAGAAAGAGAATTTGGGTCAGGTGGAAAGCTCTGAATGATGTCTATTGTACTATACCATGATATTATGAATTCTGTCAGATTTTTAAAAAAATTTGAATTTAACTTTTTAGTGATAGTTGTACTGAAATATAATTTACATATCATAAAATTCACCCGTGGAAAATGTACAGTTTGAAGGTTTAGTGAATTCACAGTATTATGTAATCATCACCACTATATAATTTTAGAACATTTTCAACATCCCTAAAAGAAGCCATGTACCCATTAGCAGTTACTCCCCATTCCTTCCTCCATTCAGCTCCTGACAACTGCTAATCTTAACTTTCTATCTCTATGTATTTTCTTATTCTGCACATTTCTAAAAATGGAATCGTACAGTATGTAGCCTTTTGTCTGGAATTCTGTCAGATTTGAAAATATGTACCTCTTACTGATATGTTCAAGATGACCAACTACCTTTTTGGTGACTTTAGATTCTAGAGATGCTTATGTTTTTTGGAAGTGAAGATTTGTTATACAATTAACTAGTCTAAACACCCCCCCCCCTTTATAAATAGACTGAATTATACCTTTTTCTTTCAAAATTATTTTAATGAAGTGTTTTCATTTAGAAATATAAAAACAAAACTCAATTCTGTGCTTAAATTGCAACTATATAACTTATTTTATGAATCTCCTTTCACAGAGCACTATGTTAGATACTGTTTAAGGATCCTTTTACAGTTCTTTTGTTAATAGACTTACTTTTAATTTTTGCCTGTATGTTTCCTTTGCAATGTTAGTATGGATGGCTCTTTAACGTCTGGAGAAAGTTTTGATGCCAAGCATATAATAGCTTGTTGCCTCTATTTACATATGGAAGAAATCTTAATTATAGAGAATAAGTACTTGCATTGGCTAGAGTTTGTGCTTCAACATAAAGTTTTTGTTGACACATTCTGTGTCTTTTTGTATTGCTCTTTTTAGAGAAATGATGTCATAGCTACCTCCTAAGCATATTGATCATATACTGTTGTCAACCTCACCCCTTCGTAATTAAACAAACAAAATTTAATATTCAGTTCAGCTACTCATTCTCATTTACATTTTTACATGGGATATAGAAAAGTTCTCAAATTAGAGAAATGATGTCATAGCTACCTCCTAAGCATATTGATCATATACTGTTGTCAACCTCAACCCTTCGTAATTAAACAAACAAAATTTAATATTCAGTTCAGCTACTCATTCTCATTTACATTTTTACATGGGATATAGAAAAGTTCTCAAACTTCTCATATATCTAACTTCTCTTTATAATAGTTTATCTTAGCAGTAAACTTTCATTTAAACTACTCTCTGTGACTTTTATAAGCCTTGGGTAGTTAATAGAAATTTTATTAGAATCAGCTCATTTATAGCCTGTGGGTCACTATAATATGAAAAAGGTTAACTCTCAGGGGCAAGAGGAATGTGGCATATATTGAAGAAGCAAAAGTTCTTAAATTGTCTTTTGAGAGCAGCATTATGATTTGCATTCTAGATGAAATTCTAAATTTGAGGGAAAAATGAGAAAAGAAATATAAAGCTGTATAGTTGTGCAATTTATACACTTTGTTTTTCTATTAAACAAATTATTTAGGCTTCTGTTCACATGTTCCTAATTTTTTCTAATTATTTTTGATGGAAGTTTCAAAAATAATTTTCATAACAATGATGGTATTTTTCAAACATGGATATATTTAGTGTAGTCATTGGAATTTGAATTAGATTTCTGGCTTTTTAATGTAGCACAATGTTATAGTATATATTTCTCATTTTACCTCGTATTTTGTAGTAGAAAAATATGTGATTTGATAATGATTAACTTCATTATTGAAACAGTAACCTCTGGAGTTTATGGGTGTTCATATTTATTCTTTTAGTTATCCACGCACATTAGCAGCTCTAGAAATGATGACTGAGTATATGCAGAGCTAAATGAGGTATTGGAAAGAAGTCTTAAAGTTTTTGTTAATTGGTAAGAGTTATCATCAACAGTCTAAATTCTTTATTTTAGAGTATGGCAACTTGGGTCCCACTTTTTCAAGACATAGTTATTAAAATTCATGTGTTGTCTGCATTGCTTAGAATGGCTAACAGTTTTGAGGTAGGGCTTTATTGGTTTCTAAGTCTTTACAATGGGGATACAATTTAATGAGAATAAGTATCTTACAGTCTTTCTCTTGGTAATTGGAGCCAAGTTCTTTTCATGTTCTTTTACCCCTAATAAAATCGTACTTTTAACTTCTGAATGGAGTGGAGGCTTTAGAACTTGCTGTGCTGTGACGGCTTGCATTAGGGTTAATTTATGTTTCCCAAAGACTAACTAAAAACCTTCAAAACTAGTAATTACTTTTTTTTAAGGGGAAAAATGCATCCTGTTTGTAGCATTTTTAAGGAACTGCTTCCTCTTTGAAGGAAGCTTTTATTTCTTGGCACTTTGGGCTAATATATTCCATTCTTTTTGATATAGCAGTTTATCCTCCTGTTTGAAGTTTCAGAACCTGTTATATCCCTGATACTGTTGAAGAAGAATGTTTAAAAATGATGTCTTTGATTTGACAAAATTGGAAGTTTGTGCACTTGGAAGCACTTTACAGTGGGAAGATCACTGTACTATGAGTCAGAGTTTGGTTATTCTACCAACTCAGGGACAACAGTTTCTGAGCGTGTAAAATCAAAGTTTAGAATGGATGGTTTCTAAGGTCTTGTGATCATATCCTATGATTTTAAAAATACTCACATAGCAAATAATTGAGATTATTTATCTGTCTAGATTTGATATAGTTATCACTTTAGTAGAGAATGAAGCTGTGTTTATCAGTTTGCAATTGTGAATATATTGTCTTCATGTCATTCCTTGTCTTCTGGAATGTTGTATTCCTAGAGTGAAGCGTTATACAGGGCTTGCCTAATGTGAATGATGTGGCTATGCTTTCAGATTTTGTTGTTGTTTGATTAGTACCTGCTTTTTTTTTTCTTTTTTCTTTTTTTGACAGCTGGCTCATATGGGGATCTCAGCCCTTGACCTTGGTGTTATCAGCATCATGCTCTGCCAAGTGAGCTAACTGGCCAGCCCAGTACCTGCTTCTTTACTTAAATGTTTGGAGTAGGATTCCTGAAAAACAACTCTTTTTTCACCCAAAGCATGGTCCATTTACCCTGCCTTATACTGGAGAAAATGTGCTTTGGTACTCTTTATGGTCTTACCTTGTTAACTTACTAGAGAGTATACTTTGATACTTATATTCTTAAGTTAAAATTATACTTACATATTTATTTTGTTCTTAAAATTGTGCTACAGTAGCTTTCTTTCTCTCCCTCTTGTTTTTCTGGTTATACATTTTAAAAAGATGTTTAGTTAGATTGCCACTTCCTCAAAATATTTTGCAATTGTCTTTGGTGTACTAAACTTTTAAAAACTGGGAAAGAATTTGTATGATCCATGTTCCCATTTTCGTACAAAAGGAGCAGAGATAGTAAATGTAATGCTCTCTTACTCCCATTTTAAGAAAAGAAATGACTGTTGAAATAGATGAGGTTTAAATATTTAAAACTGCTAATGGCTTATTTCCTGTTGCATTTTGATTTTACGGTCAGTGAATTTAGAGTTGTTTCTGATTGTTGAGAAGGCAGTTAGTTGGCTTAAGAGTAAAAAGTTGTACATAAGTGTTAATAATAGCAAAACATAGCTACCCTTCATAGTATCCATGAGCCTAAGTAAAAAGCAGAGTTACAGTTTTCTGACTGCAATGTAAGAAAGTTTATTGAGTTATAGAACTGCTTCAGTCTTGGTTGCCTAGGGATAATGGGACAAGAGGACTGTGAAATAAAGATTAACTATTTAAGTGGCCTATGAAATATGGTGTTAGGTAATTATTAAGCAAAGAACCTCAACTCCAAGCTGGACAATACTCTTATTCTGATTTATATTTCAGCTACGAAAGTTGAATTTTGACTACAATTTGAATAACTGAAGCTTTAAATTAAAGCCTGCTTTCCAAGCTTGACATTTTTTAAAAGTCAGATCCTTTCAGAATTTTTATGAAATTAATTTTGTTAATGATTTTACACCATTTTGTGAACATACCTAGTTTTCCTTTGAAGAAAAATGAGTGAGAGTAAAGGAAACAAAACTGAATAGTTTTTAGTTTAGGTCTTATTTTTTGTAACTTGTATTTCTTAGACTTTCAGTAGGGAACAGGAAGAAATACACTGTGTTTTCTCCCATCATCCTCATTCTCTTCTCTTTCCCATCTCTAAATTTGCCTAATTAGTTTTTACTAATAAAATGTCTTTTTGTTTGAATTGATTTGTAAAAATAATAAAAGGCCAGACTTCTAGGACATTTGTTAAATTTTCATTGTCCATGACCCAGAGCTTTTTAATGATTGTGGGCCTTACTTGAGCAAATTTGCCCTTTGTTCCCATCTGCTCCATTTTCAGCTTGTCATATTGTAAGAGTTTTATGACTTGGATGCATATCCACCTGGGGTTTTGGATGTGACTACCAAGCTTTAGTGTTTGATTTATATTTGAATCCGTGTCTTTAGACATGAAAGGTTAGTGCAAAAGCATGCTTCTCCACTGTCTCCTTTTCATTTTAGCAGCTCTGCTTGATACCTTTGGATTGTGCTTTAGTTTCTGTCAATTTGATTAAGAGGAGGCAAAAAGAAAGTAATGACTAGATGAAAAATGCTTTGTGGTCTGTGTGACACAGGTTTGGAAATGTTGAGTAGAGTGTAGAGGTTAGCACTATTGTAGAGAAGATTTGGTAAGATATGGTAATGTTTCAGGCTGAATCTCAGAGTGCCTGCATGGGGTCACCGTGGATACAGGTGAGG